TTATGCTGTTGCCATGTTCAGGTAACTTGGTTTTCCTTGCAATACTGTGGATTAAAGGCTAATACTTTATTTAAAACATTATCTTTTTTAGTAACTAAATTAACAAGCAAGAACAAAAGAATGAGACTCATGAATTTTAATTATTGCAGTGTTGCCTAAATTGGAGAATTGTCCTTGTCAAAAACCCATTGGTAGCTAGCTCTTAGCGAGCTTCACCTCTGTAACTTTTTGACTTGAGACTAGAAGAGCTGCAGTTAGCAGATTGTGATTTTTCGGAAAAGCAATAGTCTTCCTATACCTGATATTGTAATGAGGGGTGGGGGAGGGTTGGCTGTTTATCCATCCAAACTAGCATGTGGTTTTATTGTTTTTTCCAGGCAGGCAGTCAACCTGAACATCTTCCCCAAAATGTTTTAAGCTTTGAAAAACTAAAAATTCATTGAAAATGTTCTGTCTCTGCTGCTATTACTACCCTCTGTTTTTATAACAGGATTTTAGCATGAAAAAAAGCTTTTTAAAGTCTAGTTGTTGTTGTTTTTTGTTTTTGTTTTTTTAAAGTCCTACAGAATTTTGTGCTGTTTCTTCCATTTACTCTGACTAACTGTTCAAAGACTAAGACCTGGCTCCAACTTCCATTAAAGTTAGTGCACTTCAGTGGGATGGGTCCCAAAACTAGCAACGGTCTCCAGCTTTCCGTCTGTTGCTCATATTTTTAGATAAGTCACTTGACTTTGACTGACTTAGGCTTGTGGTAGTGACAAATTAAGCTGCCAAAGTAGAGTAAACGTAGGATTGAGTATTTTGAAAAGTGTGTGTAATGTTGTCCAGGAACTAAGTTAAACCCACGGATCTCTTGCAGCAATGTAATAGTGCATGTATTGCAAAATATTAAAGTTATAAGAAAAGGAAGTAAGAATGCAGAAAAGTATTGCCAAAACTCTAGCTTGTGATTTCTTAACATTTGTTTAGCTTAAGATGATTCTGTGCATATGTAGCTTTGACTGGAATTGTATGCTGGAAAATTACATTTTGCCTGCAAGTGGACGAGAAACTTGTACTGGAAACTGACCTTTTAATAAAGAGCTAAATTTTGCCTTTACTTGCCCCTGTAACTTGCTCGGTAACTGTTTGGGTGGCATTACATCACTTGTCCTTGGCAGAATTTGGGTCCATTCTTTAATCCCTGGGCTCATCTTCAGTTTATGAACAGAATTTCTTTTTCAGTTTCTGCTTTTTTTTTTATCTCCTACCTTCTCTGGGTTTTTTAAAAATATTTGATAGTCATGAGGAAGAGGAAGATCACAGTTTACTCAACAAAAGCAGAGTGGTTAGCTGAACTTGCAAATACCTCTGATAGAGAAGCAGTAAGATGACAAAATGCAATGTTTGTGGCAGACTCGCTGGAAGTGTTAATACAGAATATCCCTTTCTAATGGGAGTTAATGCTTTCTTCGCTCGTGGTCCATGGAATCCAAAATCATGAGAATACTTTACTTTAATTCAGATAATACATTTCTAATTAAAAAGATGGGTTAAACTGTTTGATACTTACTAAGCTTAGCTGGGGCAGGTTTATACATAGGAAACACTACATATGAAAACCAGGAGGATGGCAAATGGTTGTAAGATGGAAATGTTGAGAAGGACATCACGCACTGGGCAAATGTTGGAACAGATGTCTACTTTCTCTTGCTGAAGAGATGAAGAGGAAAACTTGTGTCTTCTATTTTCTATTTAGATGGCAAGCCCTTGGGCAGAGACTTATTTCCAAAAATGCCTAGGGCACCCTTGGGTGATATAACAATAGTTGTTGTTGTTTGTTTTTTTTAAACCCCAAACTTGAGTTATGAGTGTTCTTATAACTAACTTGAATGGTTAATGCTATTGTTAATGTTAACAATGCTTCTGGTGATTGAAGCATTCAGTATTCTCTTTGCAAACAAAGGCAGGTTATTGAAGGAAACTAATATTTTCAACGTACCTATTGGTTGCAGGATCATATTTGTATTCTAGCAGTTTCTTGGCTTTGTCGAACTGGAAAATTCAAGCATTGTGCATAATGTCTAATGTTTCCATTATTGGACTATTCTGTCAAAACATACTTTTTATAAATGGGCCTGAATTCTTTTATTATCTTTAAGTAAGGGCGCTGTCAAATTTGGACTCAACATTTGAATAGACTTGCTTGAAAAAGCACTAGATTCAAAGTTTGTATGTTATGTGATACCCAGAAACTGTCTTTGTTTTTAAAATTGTCAAACTGTTTCTTAGCATTTTGTTGGTCCTGTTGGAAAGTGTTTAATCTTGAGTGTGCAATCGGACGAAAATTGTATTTTACTTTTGGGGGGGGGTTGGGTTTTTTGCTTGAATCTTTGATAGTGATGATCAATGTCAATGAGGAATGAGGCAGAGAAGACCAAGTACAGCTAGAAACAAATGACTTCTAAAAATGTAGTTAAAATAGTAGCTGAAGAAATGTTATTTTTTTGTGCCCCTGAAACAAAATGACATGACATAGTGAAAAAACCTATTTTAAGAAATACTGTTAGACTCGCTCAGACAACCATACTTAAACTGAGTAGTGCAAAATTTGCCTTGAGGAACTAGGCTTTACCATTTTTATTTTGTAGTTACGGGAAACTTTTGTAATCGTTTACCTTGTAAGAAATTAGAGCTTCTATGTTTTCCTTTTTCCCATTATTCTGAACACATTTAGTTCTAGTACCAGATGACTAGTAGGCAGTAATGTTGGTTCAGTGAAATAACTGACAAGTTTTGTTAAAGGTCACTTATGCTGTGGGCAGACATAACATTTGTAGTTTCACAAGCTGCTAGTATGCAGATGTGCATACCCTCTGTAGTGCCACAAAAATGTTCTCTTTCAAAGAGGAAGTTTTTTGCAGTAAGACAATTTGTAGTGCTACAGGGGGTCCCTTGGACCCCAAAATGCCACAGTCTGTCTTTCTCCCTTCCCCTCTCCAAGTCAGGGAGAGGGAGCTTGGATGACTCCAAGACAACCAACTGCAGTGAGCAATTGGGGAGCCTTGCAGCAGCAGGATTATTAGCGAGAGCCAGTGCCAGTATAGGTGCAAACAGAAGTGACAGTTTTCGACTGATTTGGCCACAGAAAGCAGTTTTTATAGCTGTGACAAGTGCATGGCTGCAGAGAGCTTCCAAAATGGCCATTCTGGTGAAAATCTGACCCCTTATTGCACAAGGTATTCGATAAAGATGTTTCAAAATATAATGTCTTTTGTAACTTGTCTGTGGAGCTCCCAGCCTGCTGCTGTTTTCAGAATGGGAGGGGGGAAAGGAGCAGAGCGAGTTCAGTTTGGGGTTTTTTTAGCACCCTTGGAAGGGGTGTGTGTATTAGAGCCCCTCCCCACCACCACCTCTCAGTCCCAGCTGGGTAGCCCCCAAAACGAGGTCCCTCCACTGCCTGCCCTCTTTCCCTCCCCCCCTTCTGAAAATAGGGAGCACTGGCAGAGCCCTGGCCATTGCTATGGGAACCTGGCTGCAGGCTGTCAGCTCACAACTGGATTGCCCTCCTCTGGAACCAACACTGAACTTCTGTTTGGTCTAGGGTAACCGTGTAATTCAGAACACTTTGCAGAAGCCATTCTGAGTTACAGCTGGGAGCTGCACTTCTGTCTGCACCCTATAACACTTCTGGCAGCAGAGACCTGTTGCTGCTGTTGTGAAAGCATTAGCTGTTGCCAGTGTCTTTGTTGTTTGCAGGGGAGGGGCAGGGCACCAGCTGCTGCCACCACCACTACAAGAGCACTAGCAATAGCTGGTACACTGGTACCAGTGGTGGTAGCTGCTCCTGTTCCTACTGGCTTTACTCCTGTGAGAGCAACCCTGTTCCTATGGTGGTGGTGGGAAGAATTGCCACTGTAGGAATGCTGGGAAGAGCTGTTGATCATTGATAGCTGGAGAGGGCTAGCTGTCAGTGAAGGGGGAGCAGAAGGATAGTCCCCTGTTTCCCCTGGTTGGAAGCATGCCTTTGAGGCAGTTTTCATAGTTCTCCAGCCAGAAGGCAGGAACATCTACCTTTTCTTGTACTGCTGCAGAGGGGCAAGGCACTTCGTAGCACTACAGATAGAGGTGCACTGATATATTAGTGCCATATTGGATCAGCACCAATTAAAAAGAAAATTAATGTTATTGGCTATTTGCTTTTTTTGGCCAGTGTAGCTGATTAACGAACCAATAAATGTAATGTGCCTTCTGGCCAGGGCTCCAGGGCAGAGGCAGCAGGGTGGAGAGCCCCAAGTCTCCAGCAGGCAGCCTGCACCTTGCCCTTGCCTTGCTTGGCTCCAGTTAGAAACATCCGCACACTTAAAAATGGTGGTAGGGGTCCTTGAACTAAAACTCATTTGACAACCTTTATTTTAACCCCACTGCCACTTTTTTTAAGCTTCAGGATGTTGATCCCCTCGATGAGCTGCACCTGGCTCTGGCCCCCAGCTCCATTCCCTCCCTCCCCATGGGGGCCTTGATCTGCACCGCTCCCCATGCTTCTTCTCTCCCCCACACCCCTTTCCCTCCACAGACTTACGTACAGGGAGCTGTTCTCCATGCTGCCCGGCTGCATTCCTGTATATTGGTTATCGGATTGGTATCGGCCAATGTGCTTGGTGAATAATCAGCTATTGGTATTGGCCAAGACCATCCTTATTGGTGCACCCCTAACTACAAATGAACATCTGTCTATGTTCTTAAAATAACTTTTTGAAAGGATGGCACTAGCTGAGACTTTACTGGAGCATGGTTGCTTTGGAATTGACAGTCTTATGGTTTTTCTTATTCTGTAAAAAAAGAAGCTTAGCCTAATGAATTGAAAGCTGCTTCCTGCATTACCTGTTTGCTGCCTCTTGAAAAATCTGATCAAGCCCAATTCAGTGGATATAACCTGAGGTGTTATGGCTACAGGTTTACTCTGAATGGAACTTTTTGCTTGAAGCTACTAGCTGATTAAAATATTGTCCCTTTTGCAGGCCTATGAAGAATACACCAGCAAGCTAGATGCTCTACAGCAGAGAGAACAGCAGTTGTTGGAATCTATGGGGAATGGAACTGATTTCTCTGTCTCCAGCTCTGCTTCAACAGACACAGTTACTTCTTCCTCCTCTAGCCTCTCTGTAGCACCTTCATCCCTTTCAGTTTATCAGAACCCCACAGATATGTCAAGGAATAACCCTAAGTCTCCCCAGAAACCTATCGTTAGAGTCTTCCTGCCCAACAAACAGAGGACAGTGGTAAGTAAGATCTCTACATGTTCTTATAACCTTAATATTTTTGTGAACTTCTTGGAAAGTTTCCATAATATTTAAGAGCCAAAGACCTGCACCTGTAGCGTATAGAAGCCAAAAATGTAGTGTTGCTATTCTTATACTGTGTGAAAAGTGTCAATTATTTTAATTTTGTTACAAGTGTTGCTTTGTGCAGATTTAACATTGCAGGGATTGTATTTTGTAATGCAATAGGATAAACCAGGGGTGGGCAGCTATTTGGGCTGGAAGGCCACCCAAGGACTTCCGGTGAGCTGTTGTGGGTTGGGGTGGAAGTGGGGAGGGGGTAATTGATCCTGTTCAGGGGCACTGGATAGAGTGGGTGGACAGGATCTGCATGGAGACTGATGGGGTGCATTTGGCTGGGCTGATGGGATGAAGTCACAGGTGCGTGAGGAGCAGCGTCCAAAAGTGGGATGGGTGGCTGGGGCTGGGATTGCAGGGCTCGGGCCCAGGGCAGGGCACGATTCACTCCCTGCTTGCCCCTGCCCACGGAACTGGTGCCTGTCACAGGGACATGTGGGCAGTGGATCAGGGCTCTGCCCCGGCCTCCAGCTCTTCATTGTCATCACTCTGGGATCCTGACCCCACGTATCTTTCCCACTCCCAGATGCTGCTGCCCTCCCATGGACCCATCCCATCTGCCTGGTTGATTGTGGTCTGCCCATGGGGGTCCTAGGCCAGTCTCCCTAGAGACCCTGCCTGCTCTCTCCATTTGGCACCCCCAGCAGTGGGTGTGGGATGGGACAGACTGCCAGCAGCAGCTGGGGAAAGTGAGATACCACCATGGAGGCTACTGGGAAGCTGCATCTGACTGCTGCACTGCCCCTGCCCTGCTGCACATCTGGGGGTAGTGGGACCAGTCTCACATGCCATAGCCCAGGCTGCCCCTGTGCCTGGGAGGCATGACCAAGGAACCTGCTGCTGGCCAGACAGAATCCTTTGGTGGGCCTGAAGCAGCCTGCGGGCCATATTTTGCCCACCCCTGGGATAAACTAATTTCTTAGAATGGTACAAAAATAAAAGTAGAGGCATAGAGAGAGTTGCCAGAAATCAAATAAATCAAACTTAATATCAAGTAGTATTGTTCTCCTGTTATCTCTGATATGTAAAACAACCATGTAGCAATGTCACATTTTTATGTAATGTGTTGCCCAGTAAAACATTGGCTTCCAAGTTGTGATATGTGAACTGCATAAGCGTCATAATGTTCTTTACTCCTTGTTTCCAGTCACTTCTACAAGACATGCCGGGTTCTTCATTGTTTAGAAGAGCCTTGGCACCTGTGAAGCAGGAGAGAAACAAGGCAATGAATCCCTTTAGTTGCCTACACTGAGGCCATTGTTTCATAGGAACAGTGAAGTCAGTAACCAGCTATCCTTAGCTATAGCTGCTAGAAGATGCTAATGGAACTGAAGTTGGTGGTGGTAAAGTGTACAGGGGAGCAGAAAACAAATACCTGGTAACAGTTCTAGGGGACAAGTTGGGGTAGATATTGAGTAGCATGTACTTGAAGTATAAAGAAATAAGAGGGGAGGTGAAGAATAATGTACAAAGTCAACTGAAAGGCAATTGTCAACTTAAATGTAAGTGTGTAAATTTTTTTAATTAAATGGATTAAAAGTACCATCCAAGTTAAGGTTGATCAAACTAAAGCTAGCATTTTTTTCTGAATGTTTCTGAATTCTTGTGTTCTTGACAGTGTGATTCTTTACTTTTTGTGGGATTTTTGTACAGCAACAGGTGAGAACAAACGCTTAAAAAAAATATGATTAAAGCCATAAAATTTAACAGAGGACTTGAGTAGGTTGAACTTCTTATTTTTAATTTGATGGCTTCCTTTATTTTTTTAGAAAACTGCAAAAATGTCATTACTAAGACAACTAAAAAGATATTTTTAAGTTAATACTTTTCCTATTACAGTATTACACAATTGCTGAATTTGACACAAGGATAAATGGTGTTGGGTTGAATAGTGGCCCATGAAACAATACATCTAAGATGTGAGCGAAAGGGTTAAAGAGTTTGAAGATCAGCTAGAACAGGGGTCTGCAGCAATTTTCAAGCTGTGAGCCAGAACAACTCGTCTCTGGCTCACAGTGAGCCAGATGGCTTTGGCAGCACATCAGTGGTGCAGGGTGTTTTCCGTGTGGTTCCCCTGGAGCAGTGCAGCTGGAAGCTGCACCTATTCTGCCACTGATTCTCCTAACACCTCACTCTGTGGCTGTGGTGTGACGGCAGCTCTCAGCCAGACGGTAGCTCTGCTGGAGCTGGGGATCTGGAAGCTGCTTCCATGAAGGTCCTGTTCCTCTTAGTCTTCCCCACACAACCCCCCTGTAGCTTGGCTCTAGTACATCTACTGTATGGCTGGAAACTGTGCTCATACTACAGATAGGGAGCAGGAAAGGGGGAATGGGGAGAAGCAGTGTGGGTGTAACATCTAACCCCTAGGACCAGTTCAGCTCTCCTCTGGCTGGGAACTTTAGGGAAGGAGAAACGTGTGATGGGTGGCTTGGCTCCCTGGTTTGGCTCCTTGCTACTCAGCCCTGATGCAGGCACATGCATAGCCAAGACCCTCCGGTTTCCTGGGCTCTGTTGTCCACCCCTGCTCTAGAAATGTTTGAGGTGGACAAA